AGGGTTTTTTCTTCTTTTTTTGTTTGTTTGTTTTTCGAGACAGCGTTTCTCTGCAGCTTTGGTGCCTGTCCTGGAACTAGCTCTTATAGACCAGGCTGGCCTCAAACTCCCAGAGATCCCGAGTGCTAGGATTACAGATGTGCACCACCACCACCTCGCTCCATATTAACTCTTAATTGACTACAGGAGACCATTTCAGTGGAATTTATTGTTTGTGGGGTTTTTTAATTAAACATTGATTTGAGAGCTCAGCAACAAGTGTGTTTTCCCCTTAAAGCCATAGTCGCATATTCAACTTGGACTTCTGATCAGGAATTTTCAGGAATGCATGACACAGACGAGGTAAGATTTCTAGAACAAAAATAAAAGCTTGTTGCTGGGCAGGGCATGGTGGAACTAATCCCAGCACTCAGGAAGCAGAAACAGGTAGATCTCTGAGTTCAAGTCCAGCCTGGTACATAGTGAATTCCAGTCTATCCAGAGCTATAGAGTGAAACTCTACCTAAAAAGGAAAGAAAATAGTTATTGTAAATGGTTAATAGGGTGTGTGTGTGTATGTGTGTGTGTGTGTGTTGCACACACGTGTGTTCCAGTTTTGGGCATTGAACCCAGGACCTCATAAAAGTGCTCTGCCACAGAGTACATTCTATCCCAGTATTTCTTTTATGTAAATAGCTTTATTGAGATATACTTTATGTACTAAAAAATGTACCAGTATTTGTTCCACATAGCTGTCTTGTATGAGGTTTCCTTGAAGTATAAAACTTTAAGACAATTCTGAAGCCATTTCTGACAATTCTGAACCCTCTCAGCCTCCGTGCCTTAGTGCTTCCCCTCCTCCCCTGGGTACCAAGGACCTAACAGCTACACATGCACGTACGTTCTCCAGAAATTGGGGCAAGATAACCTTTAAGATGTTGACTCAGTTTCTGAACAATTACCCATACACATATGTTTTGATTCAGTCCCCTGGGAAACGGGGTCAAAATGACCTCTTACCTCATCTGATCTGGCAACAGCTCTCCAGCCAATTGTTGGTAATAGCCCTTTCGAATAAGCCAATCATAATAGTCAAAGAACAACCCCCCTTGCTTCTGTGGCCTTCTCCTTTAAAAGTAGCCTGTACCAGCTATTCGAGGTCTCTCGGCTTCCCAAATGCTGAGGGACCCTGTCATGACAGAATTAATAAAATCCTCATGCTTTTGCATCAGCTATGGTATGAGAGGTATAAAGTTGGGGCCCACGGTATTGGTCCAATTGACCAGACATCACATATGGGTGTTCTAGCAAAGGCGTTAGCTCCCTTTATGAATTTAAGGCCTCTGAACTGGGAAGGGGGATGCTAACAATACTGTCTTTTTCCCACCCAGAATATTGCTGAATGAGACTATGAATGGAGGGGATTCCTTTGCTGAAAAGGGAAAATTTGGGGTATCCTTGTGTCATTGCTCAAGATTCATTCTTAATCTAGAGATTGAGAAATAAAAAGAACCTCGTACTAGAGCTGGCAGTTCAGAACTGGGGCTCCAAGCACAGATGGAAAGAGAGGTGATCAAGAGGACCCCTTAGAAGGTGGGCTCTCTCTTCTCTTGTTTACTTTATTGCTGTTGCTTCAGAGAAAAGAGGACCCCAGGTCCCTTTCTGTTGTAATGAGGAACTGCGGGCCACTTCCCGCCGCCCGGCTAGCTTTACCCAAAATGACTACATGGAAACTGTATTCATTTAAACACTGCCTGGCCCATTAGCTCTAGCCTCTCATTGGCTCACTGTCACATCTTGCTTTAACCCATAACTAGTAATCTGTGTATCACCACGGGGTTGTCGCTTACCGGGAAGATTCTAACCTACATCCATCTCGGGCCAGAGCTTCATGGCATCTGCCTCACTGCCTTCTTCCTCCCAGAATTCTGTTGTCTACTCCACCCACCTAAGGGCTGGCCTATCAAAAGGCCAAGGCAGTTTATTTGACCAATGAAAGTAACCCATAGACAGAAGACCCTCCTACATCACCTTTCTCCAGCAAAGAGCATAATCACCTCCTCCACACTCTTGGCCTTTTATTAACATATTCTGTAAGCTCACCTACCTAGTGTCCTGGCTGGGTTTTGTCCACTTGACACAAAGCTATGTATACCAAGAAGAGGGAATCTTAGGGAAAAGTCTTCATAAGATTGCCCTATAGGCAATGTCTTAATGATTGATGTGGATCACTGTGAGTGATGCCATTCCTGGACTGGTGGTCCTGGGTAGTATAAGAAAGCAGGCCAAGTAAGCCATGAGGAGCAAGCCAGTAAGCAGCACTCCTCCATGGCCTCTGCCTCAGCTTCTCCCTCCAGGTTCCTGCCCTGCTTGAGTTCCTGCTCTGACTTCCCTCAATGATGAAGTATAGACCTGAGAACTATAAGCTAAAATAAACCCTTTCCTCCCCAGGTTGCTTTTGGTCGTGTTTTATCACAGTAGTGGAAATCCTAAGACACCCAGTCTTAAGCTGTGGTTTATGTCCCCCTTTTGTTCTCCCGGATACTGGAGCATGCACTTTAGAAGACATTTGATTCTTATCGGTCTCAGATCTTTTGTCCTTCTGCTTACCCAAAGAGGGAGCCGGGTTTCCCATACTTCTCTTGAACCGTAATGTCTTGATCAGAGGTTCAACTGCCTCTCTTCTCCTGTAGTGAAGACCCTTGAAAAACATGGGAGTTTGTGTGGATACCCTCATACCACCTGAACTCCATGCAAACTGCTTTGCCCTGGCAGGAAGCTGGAGCTGCATCCCAAGGGAGTGAACATTTCTGTCACACTCAGACAACCCCCAGGGTGTCCACCCACCAAAGCAGTATTAACACATCCAGGTTTTGTTGTTTTTCTTCTTCTCTTGGTTCAGAAACTCAAAGTTCACCCTAATGGACTAAATGGGGAACACCAGACAAGGCCAGACAAGCAATATTCATTTCCCTTCTTCCCAAATCCTCTCCGGAGTTCCTCAAACCCCTGCACTGTGTTCCCCTGCGCCTTTTGTTTTCCACTTTGAAGAAGCCTGTGACTGACATTTCAGCCACTTCCACCCTTCAAAAGAAATGCTCAACCACATGACAGTGCTCTATAGTCCGAGTTTCTTCCCTTGGTTTGTGCGCGGAAAGTTGCCTGGTTGTCGTCTTACTCGTTTGAGGCCCCTATCTCGACAATGCCGATTTATTTTCCAATTTGGGTTTCCATTAGTTCAGGAGCTTGGTAATGTATCCATATCCAGGGCCACTGCAATAAGGCAGCAGGATGCACCTCCCAGGATGGGAATCAGTTCCCAGGACCTTTGGCCACAGAGAAAGAGCCTCTCACATTGGGTGCCAAGCTTTTAGAAATAGGACGGGGGGGGGGGGAGATCCCAAGAAAGTGACCATACAACCCGAAGTGTGTCAGTGGGGCGAAAAGCTTCGCTTCTGCACACAGGCACATGGCCATGTCAAATCAAGCGGAAGTCCTACCGGGATCTTATTCCTAACACAAAGGGGTCGGAGTGTGGCCTCACACTCCTACTAATTCCAAACGGCACAGCTGAAAAACAAAGTACAACATTAAGCTCATTGTGATTTCAAGAGGTGTTGCCTCTCTCTGCCCTGCCATCTTTAGTAACACAAGCAGTTAATCCAAACACCAGATTTGATTCCTGACCAGAGTGAACCACAGAAGAGAGCCCACCAGGACTTCCTTCCCAGGACTTTGCAAACAAATGTGATCTGGCTGAAGGCCGACCCCCGTTTCAAGCTGCATGGGACCAGTCTGATGCCTAGACTGAGCATCCAATAGTCACTCTGAGGAAACGTCAGCCCTTGTCCATGCCTTGCTGGGCTCTCTGATCCTTGAGCAGGCTTCTGGCCCTTTCCTTTTGGTTCTGCATAGCTTCACTAAAAAGATTCAAACCAGTTTCTGTTCCTTACCATGGATATTCTTAAGTATCAGATGATGGTAAGAAAGACATTCCAAACTCCAGCACATCCGTAAGATACCCCTTCCCCCACTGTCATTCCCAGAGAGCTTTAGTGGATAAGTTCTTATGTGTCTGAATTCAGGAACTAATAGATTTTAGCTACAGGCCGGTAATAACCCCGAAGAAGTGATGTCCGGACAGTCACAAGGAAGACTGCTTGGTGGTAGACACTGGTTTGGGCTGCCAAGCAACCTTGCTATCCCTTGTGCCTCTGAGGAGCCTGGCCTTTCACAGAGAGGCATCTCTGTGGGCCAGTCTCCTGGTAGCATTAAAAGAGCATGGCCTCCTAGTGGGAGCCTGTCCTTTCTTTTTAGTTGGTGCAGCAGGTAGAGCTTTTTCAACACCCCCCCCCCAGCTACATAAACAGAGTCATATAATACCCACCAGCATCAATGAGTATGGAATAAGGACCATGCTTTGGCCTATGGCCCGAAATTGCCTTATCCAAGCATTAAAATTCAATGTTGAAAAACCCAATATGAATGTGTGAGCAATTCCATTTTATTGGCGGATGGGAGAGGGAGGGGATAAATTTGATGGAGGGGGATTTGGGTGGAGTTAGGGAAGGCAGAAGTCCAGAAAGCATGTCCTCATGTATATAAATATTTTTAATACAAATATATGCTTTATTTCATTTTTCTTTTCTCAGGAATGAAGGAGAGGCTCAATGATTTGTTGGAAAGAGGCTCAGATGTGGAGTCGTCGTCGTCGTGGTGGTGGTGGTCGTCGTTCATTGATTCATGGAACTGTGAGGAATCATGCACAGGGTAAGTCCTCATCTTCAGGGCCTCTATGAGATTCTGTACACGCTTGGCGAAAGAAAGTGTTGTGCGGCGTCTCGTGCGTTGTGAACCAAAAGTAAAGGGTACGGGTTGGAGTGGGGTTGGGGGTGGTAGGGGTGGGAACGGGGATTGGGGCTGGCCTGGAGACGGTCCATGTGGTAGAGGCCGAGGTGGTCGTGGCCGAGGTGGTCGAGGCGGGATGTTTTGGTAATACCAAGGAGGGCGAGGAGGAGAAGGGTGGTAAGAGACCACCGGTGGTTGAGTAGTCGTCGGGGGAGGGGTGGCTGGCTGAATCAAGCGCAAGGCATTAGGGCCGATCTTGGAAGCAATCCAATCCAGGTAGTCCCAGGTGGCTGTGTAGACTCCAGGACGCTTAGCACGGGCACAGCCTACCCCCCAGCTCGTGATCCCCACGACCACAAAGGGGCTGTCGACGTTGTCTCTGCACATGAGAGGCCCACCACTGTCCCCCTGTCCAGAAGGACAGAGGGGTCACTTTCAGCCTGAGCCACTCTCCCTTCCCAGAAGGCCATGGGGCTGTGGGAGAACACTGTCTGTAACCACATTATCTCCCGCTGCCTTCAATACCGTTGGTAAAGTCAGAGCTACCAATATCCACTGGGATATGAAGGGCAGGGGGATGGTCCTGAGATGCCCTGCAATAAGACGAGCTCACATGTACATGCATGTGGCTTTCCCTGCATCCATGAACACTGTGGCTTTGGGTACTGTGTGCTCTGGGGAAGAGGAAAACACTGTCTTCCAGGACTAAGTTTGGGCAGTGTATTCTGTGTGCTAATGTTGGGATTCAAAGTGTGATCATTGGTTCTCAGCAGGGACAGATGGTAGATATCGTCCCCATACTAGTTGTGATGGTGGATGTCACTAAAGTGGGCTCTTGGGTAAAGAGAGGAGAGGCTGGAGATCAGGGACCTAAAATGAGGCTTTCTCGGAGGCTAAGCTCCTTAGAGGGACCCAGGGGTCTGGGCACCAGAAGGAAGTTACCTGGCAGGTGTCAATCTTGCCTTCAGGATACCCTGCACACACATTAGTTGATGTGACACGCCCATTGTACCACTGGGTTGAGTTACACAGGTCGAGGTCAATGAGATCCACACGTGCCTCCATCAGGACAGGCGATGGCCTGGGGGCTGCAGCCAGGCCACACAGTGGTCAGTGCTCAAGGAGGAGACGAAGAAAGCCCCGCCTCCTCCCCACACTCTGCGCTTCCATCCGTCCTGTCCTGTGTCATGCTGTGGCTAAACAAAGATCCCTCAGGCTCACCTCGCACGCTCAAGGGGAGGAAATGCACAGTGAAAAGGGCAGGTGGGGGCTGCCTGGACCAAGAAAGGAAGGGTGGATGACACCTAGATCCATGATGGATAAGGGACTGTGGAAGTCAGCTGTAGCCCTAATGGGCACAGCTAGTATATGCCAAGCACTGTCCATGGTCCTATTACTCCCATTTTGGGTGAGGGACTGGAGCACCACCCACACAACGTCCAGCATTTGGCCAGGGTTGCCCCTCTCCACGCCCATGCCTGAGACACACCTTTCATCCTCCACTGTATGGCTAGAAGTCACCCTCCCTGTTTTTTATCCTCCATTAGGGCTCCTCCACCCAGCTTCAGACGGGATCCTCCCATGTCTCTCAGATCTGCTTTGAGGAGATTTTTGGAAGAGGAGAGCTGAGTCAGGGCCTCATTCACTACCACAGACCCTACCAGGGGGGTTAGGAAAGACAGTTACACTTCAGCTCATGCAACCAGCATGCATCTGACTTAGACACATGCTCAGAAGCAGCACGGTTCTGTCTCTTCGTCACAAGCAGCCAGGGTCCTTAACAGAGGCACCTCGGATAGCACCCTCCCAAGGCAGTGTGGGTCTGAATGTCATGGGCAGCACAGATATGGAGCACCCTGACGCAAGACAGGCACAAAAGACATGTGAGTGCGGGTGGTAAGACAGGAAATGCATGGAGTCCTTATATGCAGGGCTAAACACTCAGTAGGCAGGCAGTAGCTATCTGTTCAATACATGTTTCCTGAGGATTTGGGGGGGGGTATTTCACTTTCTGTTTTCAATAAAACTCCCACCTTTCCTCACATGCAAGCATCAGTGAGAAGTTTGTACAACACACTGCTCCTGAGGTGGGAATGACTGTAAGACAACAACAGCCCTAACCTGCTAGCCATTAAGGTAACCTTTTAGATCTGTGGCTGAGGCCATAGTCTTGAAAGTCATGGACCTCACTGCGAAAAGCCAGGTGTTCTGAAACAGAATGTTCTCGGTACCAGACAATATAAATAAGAGGCCTGTAAGAACTTAAAATCCCAGGGAAAAGAACAATACCTAGGTAGCTCGTCCAACCCCAGAACAGAGGCAGAGCCAAGCATATACACACACAGGTCATGGGAGTTTGAAGCCTGGGGATTTTTTAAAGACTGAGGCCTTTATAGGAGATATTTGTTTGCAAGACAAAAACGAGAGACACCCCCACTGATTCAGAGGATTCTAGGACCGGAGACCAGCTACCCAAGGACCACAAGAACACAATGTACACATTATGACCAGAGGGCAGCTCCAACAGGGCTGAGCAACATGTGTCCTCAGACTTAGGCAGAGCCACAGGCACCAGCAGATCAGAGAGCTGCAGTCACCTGCCAACAAAAGTAGCTAGGGTGAAGGTCCCCTCCCCTGAAGGACAAGACAGGGAGTAACCCTTTAAAACAGCGGTTCTCAACCATCCTAACACTGCAACCCTTTAATACAGTCTTTCCATGTTTGGGATGACCCCCAACCATAAAATTATTTCATTACTACTTCATAATTGTAATTTGGCTACTGTTGTGAATCGTAATGTAAATATTCTCAGAGACAGAGGTTTGTCAGAGGGGCCGTGACCCACGGGTTGAGAACCACTGCTCTAGAGAATGAGATCACCTTAGGAAAAGAGAGTAAAAGCGAGGGGAGCAGGAATTCCAAACTTTAAAAAGGGCTGAGTTGTACATTCCAAATGACTCAGCTGCCCCAGATTAGAAAATCTAAGTTTTCCAAGATCAAAGAAGAAATGGTGGCTCAGCAAATTACAGTCACATTTCCACATCCCTAATGTGACAATAAAAATCTGTACAACCACAGGAACTGAAGCTGAAAGCACTGCCCGTGACCAAGAGAAATGTTCTATTTGGTCTTGGCCCATTTACAATGCCCTGCCGTCTGTGTTGTGACTTTAGAGTGTGACATTGTACTCCTGGTACCAACAGTGGCCCTAGACTTTAAGGATGCGGGAGGTTGTCTGGGACTCAGGCTATAACTCTGGGGTCATTAATGACTCTAGAACATTTCCTGTACCCCTGTCAGCTTGTCTACCACAGAAGACATTCCTCTACTCACCTGGTGTCGTGTGGGCCAGGTAACATTAGTGCATTAAAAGGTCTGAGCCAGGGAAAGGGCAAACACTTTGAACAAGGACAGAGGGCTAGAAAGACAGCTACACTCATCTTGAATGGCAAGCGATCTGCTGGACAATGCCAAGGGCCTTGAACTAGCAACCCAAAGAAAATTATACCCAGCACCTGCATCCTTCCCAGTCTACATAGAGAGCACCAAGTAACTTGGAAGGAAATGATGAGTCATGGTGCTATGACCATCCAAGGAAAAATGGATAGGTACTTGCTGATGGTGATGAACCGATGCATCTGAGACCACAGAAGTTGGAGATGCTCAGCTCCAGAGGCCAGCCCTTCACCATAACAACAAAGCCATCTCCAGAGGTCTTTTGCAAATATTGCTTCAGTTTAAGTTTCCAATGCTCAGAGTATGCGGGTATGCCTCTGGCTGATATACCACACAGCTTTGCTACACTGTAAAATATGTCAAGGGTCTAATTGTACCTGCCATTCAGCCTTCCCATTAGGTAGGCTATTGCCAGTCATGCCCTCTGACAATTGTGACACCATGACCTTAGACACTGGACTCAGCTTCTCTCACACTGAATTCTCCAGTTATGAAAGGGCCTATGGTAGGCTCGAGTCATGCTTCCATGAGAACTGAAACAGCTCAGCCACACATCAATACATGAGCCCTGCCACGAAAAGGCTGCACGGAGAATGGGCACCAGTGTCCACCAAGGAGCCCCCACCTATACTCACCCTTCTCTTTCATGTATCCCCACCCAATCACGTAGCAGGTCTGGGGAATTTTGGGAGGACCAGCCTTAAAATGAGGCAGGCAGCCGGGCCCGATGAAGCTCCCACACACAACCGGAGGAGTGATCTTCAAGAGAGCAATGTCGTTGCCCTCGGTCACGATGTTGTACTTTTCGTGGATGACAATCTTCTGCACATATCTCTCCTGCAGAGGCTCTTTCACTGGCTTGTTTCTTCCATATTCAATTTCCTGGGCTCCAAAAACCAGTCTCCAGTCATAGACTTTTCTGTGGGCACAAAGGTAAGCCCGTCGTTCTCATTTACAGACTGGCTGGACCAAAGCCTGTGGCGAGAGTGACCCTCAGAGCCCTGTCAGGAGCTGGTTACCACAGAGACCCTGGGCACAGCCCCTGGGGCGAGTCCCTTTCCACTAGAAGCTCTCTGGAGACCTCCCTCTTTGAGTCCCACACGTACTTTTTGTTGTCGAAGCAGTGAGCAGCTGTAAGCACCCAGTGGGAGTTGAGCAGGCTGCCTCCACAGGCATGGTACCTGCGGCTGTTATGGGACATGAAGATCTGTAGGCTGACCATCCAGGGCCAGGCCCCACGCTGCGCAGTCTGCCCTCCGACAATCCGGAAACTTGCCTGTGGGTGCTGCCTGAACTGTAACCCACAGGGGCCACTGAGGAGAGACCAGGACACTGCTCAAACCAAGAAGAGGCATCCAGTCTTTGTACCTCACCTGGGGGGAGGCAGGGACATAGGACTGGGAAAAATGGGGAGGAACTTTGGGGAAAGACAGGCAATCAAGTGTGGGTATGCAGGAGGCCACAGTCTCCAGGAAATACCTAAACGGGCCCTAGAGGTATTGAGGGATCCCTGGACATAGCAGAAGCCAAAAGTGCTATGGAGGCGGAGGGGTGTGATGGTTTTCAGGACCAGTCTTGGATGCGAGACTCAAGCAAGCGTCACATGATTAAGGAGGTCTCAGGGCTATACCACCTGGACAAAGGAGCTGCAAGCTGATGCAATTGGCTCACAAGCATTGGGGTCACGCTAACCACAGTGAGACTCCTGAGTGGGAAATTCTATGAGCTGTGTCACAGTGGAAAGGCTACCAACAGTTTTGGAGCTGCTTGCTCTGTGGGTCCATTAGGAATAAGTGTCTCCAGGCAGATAATGGTGTAAAGGCAATGATGCCTTTGAATTCATGCCCCGGGGGTTTACCTCAGCTGTCTATCCTAAAGTGTAGGACCCAATGCTTGAGAAGCAATGAAGCCAGTCACTGGAGAAGCAGTGGGGAGAGAGCTAGCGATGAGGGGTCTCTTTCTCTGGGAAACCATGGGCAGCTGGAAACCTAATGCTTCTGGGATCATAGTTCCGGAAGCAGGAAGGGTCTGAGTCGGGATTGTGGGTCACAGAAACTGTGAGACTATCCAGAGCCTGCTACAGCTCAGCTTACTACTCATCCCAGCCCTGGACAAAGGGAGCCTAGGTAGGACCTGATATTCATGTAATGTTCTTAACCCCACCAAGGTGCCCCCGACACTTACTCACACGTGGAGTTATCTCTGGCAACCACGGACACTGCCAAGACCAGCACAATGACAGTTGGCAGCATCTCTACCATACTCCTGCCCTAACCCGGTCTTCAAGCTGTGACCTCACAAAGCTCCACGGCCTTCTGGCCAATCAGCAAGATGATATCCCACCCCCACCTCAGCAGTTAGGCCAGGCAGGCCTCCTTGATTAACTGATCCATGCTGGAGCGGAGTCCCAACTTCCTGCATAAACTCTCTAGGGGAGGTGAGGGCCTCACGTGCAACCTTCCTTCGTTCATCCTTGGTGAGTCTCCTGAAGTTGCACTGTGTGAATGCTCAGGACAGGCCCTCTGGGGGCTGGAATCACTAGAGTCATGGACTACAGACAGCCTGGCCCTCCTATAATGAGGTGGTACAGTATGTTCATGGCTAAAAGAAGTCAGCTTCCACTGACTGACAGATCCTCGGTACATGGTGGGGGTGGGAGTATACGCCATCAGGACACTTTTAATCGCCATTTTGAATCTGCTTGACATGTGACTTCGAAGCCCAACTTCCTGTCCATTGATGAGTGTCACAGGGTTTCCTGGAGTTCTCCAATCTCTTCTCCTGACCCTCGTGCAGCCACATGTGATGGTCACCGAGACTTGAGCAGCAGGAATTGTCATCACAGTTATCTGCAATATCTAGTATCTTTTTTTATATATCATCAGAAGACAGCATGGCATGAGCATCATACTCTGATGTTCCATCTTCCCTGCAACAATTTCCGTAGGCTTTGTCTCCTGAGTTTAAGTCCCTACCAGCCCACCATAAGATGGACCAGTTACATCTCCTCTAAGATGCCACCTCTCCTACCCACCTAGACATTTTTATCTCCCCACCCCCATGTGTTGAGTTCTTGGACTATGGGATGATCTTGATTTCTCCATGTGTCTTCTCTAACTAAATGTCATACTTTCTTATGTGACTTTTAGGAGGTCACATCTCCGTAAAGTGGCCAACAAGGTCTTGATTATCTTACCTGAGCATCAGAAAGCTCTGACTTCTCCCCCTGTAAAAGCAACTCCTCTTTTCCACATCAGGGCCCGAGGTCTCATTTCTTCCGTCTGAGCGGTACCTTGTCACATGTTCTCTACCAGAATCAGGAAATCTTACATCCTCTACCTGAATACTGAAAGACTGTACCTTAAGTATTCTCAACTTCCATAATGAAGTTCTGGAAGTATTCATGTCCCTTACCGAGAAGTCGCCTCTCCCTACTTGAGTCCAGGTGCATCTCTTACCCAAATGTCATATTGCTTTTCCCTCCTCTCCAAGAAGATCTCAGTCTTCTCTCCTCTGTCCAAAGTCTTCACCTCAGCTTCATGTCTGACTGTCTCAAGATCTCATCCTCACTGCCTAAGGGTCACAAAATTCCCTGTCTTCTACTTGACTACCAGGAGGCCTTACTTACCCTGAGTATCACAGGGCATCGGGACATCCAGTCTCTATCTGACAATTGGGATTCATCTGTTTGGGCATGCATCTGGATCAGTGGTTCTCAACCTGTGGGTCATGACCCCTTAGGTTTTCATATCAGATATCCTGCATACCAGATATTTACATTACATACATATTACATTACATTACATATTACATTATGATTCGTAATCACAGTTATGAAGTAGCCATGAAATAATTTTGTGGTTGAGGACCACCATGACATGAGGATTGCACACAGCCTGGAGAAGGTTGAGAACCACTGAGCTGGTGGTTTCGTCTGGCTCTCTGTAAGTGACCAGAGGGTCTCATCTGACCTCGGGTTAGAAACACATCTCCTCTACCGGAGTGGTACAGTCTTCTCTCTCCTATTGCAGCATCAAGCATTCTCCTCTCCTTTGCTGATCGTCCTCTGATTTCTATGCCTTCCCCTCCTAGAGCTGTTCTGGGAGAGTCTCAACTTGTAGCTTTAATACGTTTTAAAATTATTATTTTGGTTTAAAATTTTTTATTTTAATTTTTCTTATGTGTATTTGTCTATGTGACTATATGCTGGCGGGGCGGGGTTACCTTGAAGCCGAAGAGGGCACTGAATCCAGTAGAGCTGGAGTTACAGGCAGTTATGAACTGTTATGAACTGTCCAATACTGGCACTGGCAATCGAACTCTGGTCCCCTGGAAGAGCAGCAAGAACACTTCCTCACCGAGCCATCTCTCCATCCTAGCTCTGATACTTACGAGCCACAAGTGAGCGTCCCAGTGCCTTTTCTCCCCCAAGGTCAGATGTGCCAGGCCAGCTCACCTTTCTTTACCAGAAATTGATTACGACCTCATTTCCACTATCTGAGTGGCAGGAAGATTTAACTCTCTTATCTCTGTATCGAAAACGTATTCTCCCTTTATATTCTAACAACAGGTTTTGTTTCCCCTAAATAACTATGAGATCTCAGCTTCCAAAGCCAGTCAGTGGGACATGACCTCAGGGCCTGAGAACCTCCTCCCTAATGCAAACATGTGCTCTCCCCTTAAAGCTCTGCCCCGAGTTCTAACCTCTAAACTGGAATAAGAACAATGGGACCTAAGGGAAAGGACCTCAGCTCGAACATCCACCCTTGAAGCACAGTAATACTCTACTTTCTCAATGGGAGTAAGACGTACCTGATCCCACACAGCAGCTAATGGGACAAAGAAGGAAGGCATCAGAAATACATACTGGCTAGAGCAAGATAGCAGCCATGAAGAATGAACATAATCTCTGGCTGTGATTAACATTCCTCCTAAGATTCCTCATTAATCGGTAGGAATGCTGAATGTTAATTTTCAAATTTACATCATTAATGAAAATTTTAAACCATTACTCTGTCTTCAAATAGTAAATACCTCAGATTCTTTTACACGACTGCAATTCTGTAATTCTCACGTAATTTACATGACTCTCAAATTCTTTTTACATGACTTCTACTGGTTAAGAACTAAATCTGACCATGTGGTGGTGGAGCACACCTTTTAATCCCAGCACTCGGGAGGTAGAAATGGGTGGATCTATGTGAGTTCAAGGCCAGTCTGGCCTACAGAGCAAGTTCCAGGACAGGGTCTAAAGCTACAGAGAAATCCTGTCACACACACACACACACACACACACACACACACACCTAAATTCTGTTGTAAAAACCAAAGTTGTGATTTAAATATCCATATGCTAGCAGAACCTCATGATGAAGGCTCATAGTCCCAGTTACTCAGGAGGCTGTAGCAAAGGGAGGATCATAGGTTCCAATCCTGCTTGGGCTACAGAATGAGTTCAAGGTCAGAGGGGAGCGGGGTACAACTACCAGAGGACCATGAGATTTCTATCTCTGTATGTCATAAATTGGTCCCTCCTCTACCTGAATGTAAAGGAATACTTAAGTCAACTTCAGGGTTCTCAGGAGCTTCTGACCATCACTGGGAGCTTTTATCTAAATACAAAAAAAAAAAAAATGTCTCTCCTCTGTGTCAGGAGGTTGCTACCTGCATTACAATATAAAGGCCCTTCATCAACCTTGATGTTAGATAGTAAGTCTCACCCTCCCCACAGGAAGGTTAGATTGTCCTTTTCTTGACCACTGAGTATTAGAAGACCTCCCTTACTATAAATGGGTGCCAGGTCTTACCTGATAATAAATGGGGTCTTTGGGGGTACCAGCCCCTCAGATCCCTTCAAAGTGCAGCTAAGGCAGGACTGTCAGCAAGGGAAAAATAACAAAGGGTATCTGAGGGAAAAACGAGTCAACACACACATGACTTCTCCTCAGTTTGTCTCTTTATTGTCCTCTCTTCCAATCATTCTGTCCTGTCTATAACGTCTTAGCTCTAATTCTCTCTCCCAATTCTAATTCCAATTCCAATTCTCTGCTACCTCCTCCTCCTCCTTCTCCTCCTCCGCCGCCACCACCGCCTCCCCTTGGTTTTCCCTTTCTGCTCATTTCTGGGATGCTTCTGCTCCAGCCTCTGTGTACTTACTCTGTTCTTATCCAGCTATACAGACCCACAAAAATCTCACAGGCATTTACCTGAAGGTCACATACCATGTCTTAAGCAAATGATAAGAAACAGAGTCATTCCAACAACTCACAGTGCAATAGACCCAGACGGGGAGAAAAAAGCACTTTCTTCCAGTTGGCCCCGAACTCGTGGGCTGCAAGCCACAGCTGGGAAAGAAGTCTTTTGTCACCTTATCTATAGAGGGAGCCTTGTAGAACTAAGCCAGTAAGAGAAATAAGGGAAACGGTGTGTTATATCCTATACTGTTGAGAGTACATATCATCTTCAATGTTTTGTGGTTAGCAGTCATAAAGGCCAGCCTTTCTCGGACTGGAGACTTGTTTGTTTACATGCGTCGTGTCCTCAGAGAGAGTGCAGCAGCAGCTGGAGCTGCAGGGGCGAGGGGCAGAGGAGCCCACTCAGCACTTGGTTGGGCGCAGTGACATTAAAAGCATCGTAAATCTTAAGGTATTTTTCTGTCCAGTATGCAACCCTACCATAGAAAGAGAAGCTTGTAACTCTATTTTGGGGTTATGAAGTTGGTTTATATTTTGTTGCCAGCCCTGGCCAGTCATGGAATCTTAATCCCTGGGGTCTGAGCAAAGGCCATAAAACTGAGGTTAGGAATCCATGCAAAGAGTTCATTATTGTCCCTGGTACTGCACTTGGGTTACTTTGCATTATTTACCTTGGTTCAACAAATCATACAGTTGGCCACATGTCCTATATAAATAAGATTGTATTCCTTTGGTAATAGCTCATCTTAAAATACAATTAGCAAGGCACCTGGTTGTGGGAAACAGGTATTTTGACTCTGTGACTGTTTTCACACATAGCTAGGGGATGTAATCAATACACCCCAAATTCATAGGGGTAACTGTGCCCAATAAACGATTAAATAGTGCTGAACTGTGGAAGACAAATCCCAAACTTGTAACAGATGGGAATAAGCTATAGGAGAAATCTATAGCAAGAAACAGCCAGTTCATTCATAAGGCAATAACTCCAATACGCCTTTCATCTTGGTTTAATCCTCCAAGAGAAGCCTTGATTCTGATGGGGGGACCTCATGAAAAGATGGTTG